TGATCTGCTCAATGTCTTTATCAACCAGTCCCAGAATCAAAGGATCAATCAAATACACTGGAATATTATGGCTGGATATTAAGCCTAGGAACTTCCTAACAACGTGCTATTTGACAGAGGACAGAAACACCATCTTTAAGCATACAGAGGTCAATGTTAAACACTAATATTATATATATAACATTCAAACTCTGACAGAGAGAAGAAAACTCAAACCACTGAAAGGAGATGTTATCTCCTAATAACATCTGCTGAGTGTACATTTTACTTCCACAAACTGTGCAAATGGAAGTTTTCTCTTTCATAAGAACAGACTGCTCTCAGGCTTTTCAGGTCTCTAGGACTAGAGTAAAAACCTCCCAGTTTCAGTTAGAACTTTCTACGGCTCTGGAGTGTTAGACTAGAGAAAGAATTCTAGGTTAAACTCAAGATTTTTTCCAACTCTAGACTGAGTTGGAAAGCACTTGAATAAACCAGAGATTACAGAATGAGATGTGATGTATATGTGGCTGCTGAGGGAGCTGTCTGCTGTAATTTCAAGGTTTCTCTGCAACATCTTTAAAGGTCTTAGTGATCAGGAGCTGTTCTGAGAAAAGGCACATCTTGTGCCATCTTTAAAAAGGAGGATCTGGGGAACTCTGGTCACCTTAAACTCAACCCCCAGGAAGCTTCTGGAGCAACAGCTCCTGTAAAGTCCCATCCAAACACATAAAGGACAAGGATGTGTCTGGGAAAGCCAGACAAAGGCACACTGCACATAACCACAAGGCAAAGGCCATGGACACTGTTCACACCAGGACTTTTCCAAGGCTTTTGATTCAATCCCAAACAGGGAGCCCAGACCTCAGGTACAAGGACTGCTGTACATGTGGGAGGACTGACTGAGAAGGTAGGATGCAAGTACTAAGGGGTTAAAAGCTGTACCAGTCTCTGTACCATCTCTGTGCCTGATGAGACGATTTATTAACTTGACTCAGTGGAGAATTTTAACTAAGCTCATTTAAATGTCTGTGGCACACAGATGGCATTGACAGCAGTCATAGTCATCTTACTATTTAAAATGTAGCTGATGTATTCAACTATAATGTTTAAACTTAATGGCTTAGAAGCTCTGGCTTCAGAGAGATGTGAAAACACAAGGACAGGATGTGGGTGACCAACAGAGTTTTGGCAGCAGCACTACCTGTGTGGTACAGGCAGAAGCAAGGCCACCCTCTTAGTGATTTCAGTTACATGGAGCTAAAAGGTAATCGATGTGCTCACAATATACCTGTAACTAGAACTGGCAGATAAGACTTATGACAGGAAGCAAATCTGCGCAAAAGTGTCTACTTCTCCTCCCTTACGCCGTCACTTCTCTAGGAAAACAGATGCTTTCAGTTGAAACTTAAATAGCTGGTAGAAAGAGATGGCCTTGATGTCAAGCCATCAAGAGAAACACATTGAAACAGAGTATTCTGGACACATCACTGATGTGGCCACTTTCTCCACTGGCCCTGGAGAAAGCAGTGGGTCCCTGGCAGGACCGTGGAACATTCTGCTGTGTCACTGATGATGTGCTAAGAGCCAGTTAAACCTTGAGGATAACGCTGCCCACAGACTGGGAGCTGACTGTGACACCCAACACCAAGGGATGTCATCTCCAAGAACGGTGAGACATTCCTGGCACAAGCAAGCAGCCCATGGAGCAGCTGGTCTGGATTATGTCCAGGAGGAGCTCTTAACTGGAGCACCTTCCCTCTTGCTCAGCAGAAACAGGGCCTTTAAATGGCTATTTTGCTAACTAGCAACATTATCATGTTGCATTTGGACTGAAAGGCAGCCAGCTCCCAGCACATCCTTCCCTTTATCCATCTATTCTGTTTTTCCACTGGGAGATCAGTTAAAAGACTTCTGTAAGAGTGTTTCCAAACAAATCCTAAGTACAAATATGATAACTGAGCTTCCCATTCCACCCCAAGGGTGAGGTGATGTGTTGGCTGTGCTCAATCCTGCAAACGTTAAGCAGGACACAGCAACAACAACAACAAAAAAATCTCATTTCAAGTACCTAATGGCATCCCTGGCATTGGGTTATGAGGACTGAAATTGTTTATATTATTATTATTATTATATAGAACTATATCAAGAGGGAAGAGACTTGGACCCTGAGTTTGCAATTCCATGTGAGTTCTTGATGAGACCTGGGGAAGAGCTGTATGAACCAATGGCATGTACATACCCATCTAGTGCTGTCCTGGCCTGACTGGCTTCCTCTGACTTTGGAAAAAGTTGCTCCATTCTAGTAAAAAAAAAAAAAAGATAGGGAGGAGGAGAGAGAAAGATGAGAAAAAAACCCAAAGTTTCAGCTGAATCCTTGCTTAGGATTCCTTAAAAAGACATTCATGGACATTTATCCAAGTAAGCACTTTAGAGTTATAGCTGTGGTTTTGCCTCTGGTCACTCAAGTACAGCACTGAATGTGAAATCATAAACAACTTCCCTGGATTGGTATATTTAGAAGTACAACACAAGCCTCGGGGACCTCCAGACATGTAGGGATTGTGTGATGAGGCCTCAGGTTTCCAAGTCAGTATGCCAGTAAACATAAAATAGGGAGATGACAAACACTACCAGGCAAATACCACTGGGGGAGAGAGACAGCAGGACTGTGCCTCAGTCTTTCCAGGTGTAATTCTAGACAATTTAATCCTAAAGATAAAGGTCAGGGCAGCTTGTGGCTCGGCTTTTAAGCTTTTCAAAAGTAGGAAGAATTTCTCATTCATGGCCTTGACGTTTAACCATCAGAAACTGAAGAAAGAAGTCAAAGGTTGCAGTACCACCTGGCACCAAAAACTGCCTGCATTAATTAATTAAGGAAAAAAAAAACAACAAACCCCAAAGTCAGGAAACTTGATACCCACACAGTTCTTCTGTAAAAATAAAAAGAGTTCCTCTGTTGCAACTGTAAACTATGAAAACACCTGAGTAATTAATTTACAGTAACATTTACCTAATTTACAGTAATAATGAACTCTTTCTGTTACAAGAAAATCACTCGCCTGAGCATTCCAGGTATAAAAAGCAGGTATAAAAAGCATTCCCGGTATAAAAAAGCAGGTATAAAAAGCATTCCTGGTATAAGAACAGGACTTAATCTGTAATATGGAGAAAATTATGAACACTGAGACACAAAGCACTGAAACTGCAGAAAACGTTGGGTTTTCTGTCCAGGACACCAGTGTTGAAAAACCTGTGGCCAACAGGTGACCAACCAAGGGTCCTGGTTTGACTTCAGTTTTCATATAAAAGTCTTCGAACAAGAGTTGAGACTTAAAACCCGTGGCGGCTTAGCGCTCGAGCACCATTCCCATGGGATGCCCCTGGATGACACAGTGACTTGGATAATGGGCTGACAACCGAAACCTGACTGTACCCCTGCTACCAGACACTGTCTCCTCGCCCACACTGCGGGAACTTCGAGCCGCCCCAGGGAATTACGGGGGGGGTGGGGGGAAGGGGGCGGGATCAACGCCCACAAAGCCCCTCGACGACGGCAGTGACCACCCACTGACGCCCGAGGCAGCGCTTCCTTACCTTCTGCGACAGGTAGAACTTGTAGTAGCAGAGCTGGAAGAGCAGGAACACGAGGCTGGCCAGCGACAGGAGCGCCAGCACCGCGTTCCTGTTGATTTTCTGCATTGGGAGCCCCTGGAGCGCTCGGAACCCGCCTGCCCGGCTGCCCTCACCGCACAGCGGCTTCATGCCGTAAGGCGCCCCCGCCGCAAAGCCTCGTGACACGTCGTAAAGCCGCCTCCTCTCGCCGTCGTAAAGCTCCCCCAACCACCACCCCAAAACCCCCCCAAACACGCCCCGGATAAAAAAAAGAGAACGGAGGCACATGGAGGTTCTAGGATTTCTGTATTAGTACAAAACATCGTGTCACACACGCACGCCCCCCTGCCCTGCGACCACCGCCCTTCTCCCCCCGCCCCGCTCCATCCCCGGTCCAGGGATGCTCGGTCACAGGGGCCACTGAGACACGGGGGACCACCGGGCTCTGCTCCGAGGGGAACACACGCCCAGGCTCCTCCCTGCCACAAACAAAGTGATACTGGGGGACAACACCAACACAAGTCACCCCACGACCACCGTCCCCACCAACAACCACCGTCCTTCAACTAAAACACTGACAAAGCCCAATATTCTTTCAGATTATTCCCCCAGTCTTCATATGAAACACAGGACGAGGAAGGAAGCAGGATTTATACACTGGCCTCTGCTTTTTTTTGTGTAGAGGGCGGCTAAGAAATGAACCTGTCACCTCTTGCCATTTATTTAATATTTGGTGTTTGCAGAAGCACCTATATCCCCTGGATGTTTTTTTTTTTTAAATCATCCTGACACTGACATCCGTTGTTGCAGTTCATACAGTTTTTCTTCATACTGTTTTCCACAGAATCAAATGGGAGCTACACTCGCAATATATTAAGAGCTCAAGGGGAAACCCTTTAGTTCTTCACAAGTTGTGAAATTGTTTTAACTCTGAAAGATTACCAGCAATCATTACTAAAAACAAAACAAAACAAAAAAAACCAAAACAAACAAACAAAAACAAAAACAAAAAAAAACACAAAAAAAAAAAACAAAAAAAAAAAAAAGAAAATTGAACTCCTCCTTTTGGTCACAGAGCAGAAAATTTCTGTTTTGCCACCACACAGCATCAGCTCCAGAGCAAAGAGTCTGGGAGTATTAAGCACAACATGCCTGGTAGCTTCAACCACAGACATTCAAAAGGTCTAATCCACTGCCAAAGAACAACCCCTCAAACCCCTGAAACAGATTCACATAGAAAAAAGGTAACCCCCTGGGCTCCAGGTGTCCCTCTCCAGCTGCAGGTACAGAACTTGCACCAGCTGCAACAAAACATCACTGGAAGCAGTGTGGCATCGCTCATCTTTGTATGATGATGGGTACTGAGAGACACTAGTTCAAGGAAAAAAAAACAGTCTAAAAAAATCTAAAGTGCTTAAGGCAATTTTTCATATCCCCATTTACTAAAAAAAAAAAAAAAAATGTACTAGATGTTAGCAGCAAAATTTGACATCTGTGCAAACTATTATACAACAAATCCATCCTCTTAAGGGTAAAAAAATCACATGTTATGTTCACCTAGGACATCAGTTAAACCAAAACTTGCAAGTCACAAGTCACAGTATAAAACACTTCAAGCTTTTCTCTAACTAAATGTTAAAGAAAAAATTACATTTTTACATTTGTGCATATCAAATCCACCTTGCAGGTTGCACTACAGCTTGCTAAAAAAAAAAAGAAGTTTATAATTTAAATGCTCTTACATAGGGCTGGAGATTAGTCATAGTTTGCTCTTACTACACATTAGCTTGTTGTAAACATCCCCTTTCCTTCCAAAAAGGGAAATTTAAAGAGGAACTACAGCTGAACACCCAAGATCAAGCCAGTGGCTGGGTGCTGTGAGGAGATGTCAGCCTGTTCTGATGTCTGTGTACCACAGTCCTAGACAAGAACAGGCCTCAAAACTGAATTCCCAGCAGCTGATCCCCTAAAACTCCCAGTCAGGTGTCCACTGCAGTAAAAAGAAAAGGATTATACACAGATTATTGGGATAACAACATCTGCAGAAAAATGCGTGAAACAGATTCAGACACTGTTAACTAAGAACCATGTCACCTTTGAGTATCTTTGCCCCAAGATCCCAATCACTGAACTTGCAGGAGAAGGTAGAGATTAACTGGGAATTATTTTGTACTCTTCTCTGCAAAAAGAGATTACAGGTAACTGTTCACAATGTAAATAATTAGAGATGCTCAAGTTCCAGATGCAAAATAAACACTAAGGGCTCAACCATCCTGTCAACTTCATGATTTCCGAAAAAAAAAACCCCACAAACTTTATAGTTAATTTTCTTGTTAATTTTAACTTCCCACTGAACACCATAGCCAATTTATTAGAAGTTAAATTTCTCCTCCTCTTGAGAAATTGGGACAGAAATTGGGACAGAAAGGAACCACTGATAATAATAAGATTTAACATAATTAGATGTTCATCTTTTTTATGGGCTAAAGGATACACATAAAATAAAAAAGTACATTGGCCCAGTAGGAAAGGAGCCAATTAATTATGGACCCTTATCAGCATGAATTTACACAACAGTTTTCAGGTGATACCAGGAAACAATTTTCAGTTAGGAAACAGCTGATTTAAATGTGTACCTGAAAACTATTTCTAGGTTCCTGGACTTGATAAGAGGGAAGAAAACAGATTTAAACAATCTATATGACACCAGTAATTCTCACTGACAAGCTGAAATTTTCCATGAAGAATGTAACATGATTTTTACTTTTTTTTTTAGCTCTCTCTCTTATGAATGATTTGACTATTGTTACTAAGCTTCCAACTAAGAACCAAGGTGATGGAACACCCTGGCTCAACATTTCAAAAGCCAAGAGAGGACCCAAAGCTGAGAGCTTTTGACAGACTGGTATCATCCTGTAGTTTAAAAAAAAAAGCTCTGGATCTTTTGGTTCTGAACCTCTTCTCCAAAATATTTCCTGGCTCATGACTGGGTATCATAATGTGTCTTCATTGAGGACATAAGAATGCTTTTAAATACCTATACATTGTTACATTTTCTGTAATTTGTGACAAACAGGAGCCAATCTCAATATACATGATTTTTAAATGAATTTCTCATGGGAAATAGGAAAATCTTATATTAGGGGAAAAAAAGAAATCACAGTCTGCTCTTACTGTTTCTTCATATCAGGCCTACAGATACTTTTAATATTCTTCTGAAGTCATGCTGCTGTGATGTTTTACCAGGCTAAGCCAGCAAATCAGTATTATTTCAAAACGTATGTCTGACATCACAAGTTCTAACAGGAAGCCTAGTAATAATAAAATACATAATTAAATAAGTTGTATTAGGAGAGCTAATAAAATGGTATTTGCTATATTCTTCATAGAAAAATAACATCTGCAACAAAACTAATATTTGAGTCCATAATAAAATTATTAAATACAGTATTAGAAAAGTACACAGTTACAGCTTTTGATTTCTTTTTTTTTTTTTAAATAGGCAACAGTTCAGTTTTCTGACATTTGTCTGGATTCCCAGTAGGTTCCTAACACTTTAGCCTCAAACCTTTGCGCTATCAGTACCCAGGCCCTAAACAGCAGAAGGTAGCAAACCCAGTTTAATCCAATGCTCACAAGCTTCTGTGAGTAGTAGCTACACAGAAAAAAATCAAAATTCAGCAATAGAAATGTTTAACAGACACTACTAGGCAACATTGTTTAGGCTACTTGTTGAGCCACTCAATCCATTTTCACTTTTCTGAAGGGTTTTCACAGCACTTGGCACCTGCAATCCAGTACTCACTGTGAGACCTCCACACCAGATCTAAGGGGAAAAAGAAAAATCTACATTATGGACTACATACATCTCTCTCCTCCCATCCCACAAGCCCCACAACGGAACTAACAAAAAAGTTATCCTGCAGCTCTACATCTTCTCTCTTGCTCTCGTCACAGCATTCTGTAAAGCATTCTAATCAGAGACAAGCTAATTTTTAAGTCGACAAAGTCTAAGATGCTTCACATACTATGCTTTATGACTGTAAGTTTATAACTAAGGCTAAGATTTTATACAAAAAGACTTGCTCCTAATAGGAGAATTCCTTTGAAGGCCAATGAGCCAGCAGCAAGTACTTCAAACGACAATGAAAAGCAACAACATCGCTATGCTCCAGTGCCTGAAAGCAGTGCTTATTTCTTCCATGTCATGCTAAAACTATGTCAATGTAAACACAGTACAAAAAAATCTGTTTTATTTTCTAAAATAATGTTTTGTTTATAATATTATATATTTTCTAATATATTGTTTATTACTTTACTAATATATTATTCATAATATTATATACATCTATGTATTCATAATATAATATTTATGAAATTATATAGTTATAAAATATTATGTTTTATTTATAATATATTATTTTGTGTTACTTAGGAACTGACTTAATGAGTCAGTCTTAGCAATGCTAGAGGGAAGGCTAACACATTCTAACATTTCTGAAGCTAAACTTGTCCCTGTGTACATGCAAAGTTCTACTGGAGTGCTACTATAAGCACCACATGAAATCAAATAGAAAAGAGTTAAACATCTTCTAAAAATTACTAGTCAGCCAAAACCAGTGCTTCCAGTTTCCTTCTTGACAAAGCAATTAAGTCTTCGGTAAACTGAATTCAGTGCTAAAAGCTGAACAAAATTTTATAGATACTGACCATGAAGCCTGGTAGTAATGGTTGGGTAAATTTAGTCCTGAAGGTGTGTAACAGCGCCTTTGAGTTTGCATTGTAAAATGAGAGCTGACCTAAGAGAAAGAAAACAAGTTGGCATACAGTTTAAAACATAAGCATTTAAACATGCTTAGATGCTGTTGCTGTCTAACTTTTACAAAAAAATGATTCTTTCCCAGGGAAAGGTTTCCAGAACATGCTAAGTACAGTCCACAAAACAGAAAAGTTCACAATTAGTAGCTCTGTCACACAGATGAACTCAAGTCATTCGACATTACAAGAATTAGAATACAAACAGCTCTGGGCCTGTGTTTTCATAACAGACTGTCATTCTTGAAGTAATGCACTGCTTCAGCCCTGTACTGCTCCAACTCCACACAGACAGTCAAGTTTTTACCTCCATCCCCTAAGACTGTAATTTACCTCCATCAAAGTCACAGTATACTCCTATTCTGTCAGGAACAGGTATATCAAGAGTCTTTGCTTTATTATTATGTTTTGCTGAGAATGTGGTTTGCAGCCAGTTGTTGATATGGATGCACCAGCTTGAATTAGTCTTTCCCAGCTGGTCAAATTTCCCTGGGTTTCTGTATGTGACTCCCACGCTGTAGGATTTGCAGTCCTTCTGGGCTCTCACTTCCCAGTAATGCTGTCCACTCTCAACAGCAGTGTCTCCTACCAAAGAAATACATTTAATTGCTGTAATTGAGTGTACCTTAAAATGCTGCCTTCCTAACAGGCACCAGTGATGTCTACTCTGTTTTACTTTAAAGTGAAGGCATTAAAAAAATCTGAACTATAAGGATTAATAAAAAAGTACAATAGAATATAAATATAAAAGACTAATGAGACTGTATTTATAATTCAGGTAATACATATTTAACACCAATTTACATTGAACAGCAGTGAATGTCAGTCATTAAAAGCTTTGTAATAAAGAGTTTCAACAGACCTGAAGACACTGCAGTACAAAATTCTGGTGTTTTATGGGCAAATGGGGCAGGACAACGTTAATGACGCAGCCTTGAACTGCCACAAAGTTTCCCTCAAATTCTTGCCTCATCTGCCCTTTCCACAGCATCACACCCCTAACAGAGCAAACAGGTCCACCTTACCCAGCACCGTGTAGGATTCACCAGCAAAGCGATCCCTGCTGCCCCTGGCCGAGGCTCTTGGGCTGTTGGTGGCTCTCTTCGGAGATGCTGCATTGCTTCTAAAAAGAGATGAAGCACTCAAGATTTGGACACAGCTACAGAATGGCACATGTAAGTGTTCCCGAGTCAGCAAGAGACACGCAAAGCTACTGAAACGACACACTAGTTAAGCCGCTTAGTAGCTCTTAACAGCTCACATGCACAAGGACTGGGAGGGAAGAGGTGACAGACAGAAAAATAATACAAGATGTTGTAACAAACAAGTTCAAAGGCAGCTGAGAACAGACAGGAGTGGGGGGAAAAAACACACGTGTGGTGCATGGTTTGAATGAAACACACTTTGTGCTGGAGAATATTCTAACGAGCAATCAGTTGTATAAGAGAATAATTTTAACCTAATGAGGTTTTCAAACTATTTTTTAACCTGTTAGACCCTCAAAAATAATTCTCAGCAATTTAACCATTAAACCAAGTGAAGGTTATCTGCAATATTCGTCAGTAGCCAGAAAATCACATCTGATTACTATTTTAAAGGCAATCAGTAGCAAAGAATTTTAATTTCTCAGAAATAGCTATGCAGTTTTGAGGTTAATTTCATTGACAAAAAAACCCCAAGTAAGTACAAAATCAGTCTCTGAAATACCCTTGATAAGGAATTTTCCATGTTTCATCTCCTGTAGTCTACAATACATTAGCCTCAGAAGAGTTACCACACACAAGAGTTTTCTCTCTGACTTATCCTTCAGCTAATATTTGGTAAAGCTATTTGCTACTTTAACATCCACTAATACAGCTTGTTTCCTTTCCACTTCACTCAATGCTAATTTCAAGTTTTCTGGAGTTATTTTCAAATAGCATTTCAGAAAGGATTAGAAAGGGTTCCTTTTTGCTTAATACCATCATTAAAATAAGGTCACATGGGAATCAAAAACAGAGAGATATTAAGCTGTCATACATAATTATACTAAAATCTAGTTCATGACCAGGTTTGTTCTATTCCAGTTACAGAATTCTACAAGAAATCACTTGTGATGATGAAAAAGTTGTTCATCACCATTCAGCACACAAATTTGACAACAGTGATCAGAAGACAGCTATGTTTGTAAACTGCAGACAAGAGTTACATGAAGGGGGTAAGTGTAATATTGTGCAGGTGCACCACATCAAGTACTTTTAAATTCCGTAAAAATGGGAGATACTGCAGTTTACTTACCAAATAAAAAGTTAACAAGTGATAGCATGGGGGGGGAAAAGCAAAGCCAAGAATTAAAGCATAATTTCAGGAGGAACCATCACTCTTTGCAGATTGCATCCTTCTTCAGTTGCATCAAGCATCTTCCACTCACACTTCCAACAAATGCTGCCCAAAGTTTTCTATTAGATCCGGTATAAATGAGTTATGCAGAAAGCAATGTGGCCATTTAGAGAATCACCATAAGAAAAAAACACAGGTACTTTGCTAGTATTTTCTCAAGGTTAGGAAAGCATTAAAAGGATATTAATATCATTTATTTTGCTCAAGTCTGTAAACGGCCATTGCATGTGCTTTGTCCTATCAAAATCTAATAGCCTTTAAGAATTGAGAAAATGACATTAAATATTTGACATAAAAGCTTCAAAAAACAGGTTTTCAGTTTTGTTTTGTTTTTTTTTTCCTCACAGTGCTTAAGTTTACCTTCCAACAGGAAAAGGCAGCAAATTTTATAGCAGTTTGGTGCCCACTTTCCAATACAGCACAGTCTTTAACAGCTAGTAACTGACACATTTCTTCCACTATTCAGTGGCCAAATATTCTTATCTCATGGGTTTAGGATTGTTTAGGATCCATTTCAGCACACAAAACATACTCCAAGCAATATGTATCCTCTTTTGGAGAAGAAAGGTCAAGGAGAGAGATCAGAAATCATCCAGAGGCTTTTTTTCTAGTCTAATAAGTTACAGATAATTAAGCATTTTGTTGCCATTTTGTGTTTCCAACCCTTAAAAATTATGCATTAAAACAATTATAGTGCAATTTTTTCCCCACCTACTGTGGAGCCAGCTCCAAAAATTTTTCTTCTAATGCAGACATTCCACAGATGCTCTTAACAGGGAACAAAAGCCTCCTACCAGAATAAAGCTCATCTAAATCTCCTGCTAGAAAAGGTAGGTCTAAGTTGTAAAGCTGAACATGTGACCATGTCCTTCTACCAAAGCAAAGGCAAGAACTTTACAAAGAGAGGCCAAAGTACAAGATTCCCAGAGTTGGGCAAGTAGGAACACCTCCAAGACACTTTTAAAATTTAGTTTAGCAGAAACTGATACGCTTTGTGTAGTGGAACTATTGACACTGCACAACTTCAAGAGCTTGTTTTGCCTACACAAGCTTTTCTTTATTGCTGATCTCAAGTCAAAGGTAGATATGCCTGATAGATAAACACAGGGGAGTAACACCTACAAGACAGGCATGTCTTTTGTCCCCTCAATTCTAAACCACCGAAAAAAAGTGAGAGCAAAAACAGGAGAAGTAATCTGTCAAAAAGGAGTTTTATTAAAACAAAAGAAAAAATTTTACCCTAAAAAACCCACAACTGCACAAGGAATAGGAAAATATTTTACCTGACTTTAAAATCTCAAAAAGATGCTCTCTCATTTGAACAATTGGTTCTGCAATTAGAATTGCTATGAAGCCTTTTACATGTCATCAGGCTAAATTTCATCTTTTTTTTAGCCTGTAAAAACATCTACTTCTTACCCTCTGAAGTCTAGTAAAAGCTACAGAACAAGTTCAGATGGAAAGAGGTTTTCAGATTCAAAAATAAGAACCAAAAAAATATTTTAAAGTTCCCCGAAAGGAGATCTTTACTACATTTGTAAAAAAGCAGTGAGTCATCCTGTAAGTAAGCCTCAATACGTCTGTAAATAACAGGGATCTTTGTATCAACATTAAAATACATAATGCTCTTCCAACTATTGCAATTTAGGTTTCATACACACTAGGATGCATCCTTCCAGAAAGGCTCTCTTCCAGTCAGTGGAAAATGTATAATAAACATAATCTCTACAAATCCAAATTAAACTTTCAAATAACTTCTAAAAGCATATGTCCTGTTACTAATAAAGGCTATTAGATTTGTTTCTCATGACATCAAGCAAAGGAAAGTAGCATAGATCCCCAACAAAACTAGGTGCTAGATCCTAGGAATAAGAGGTATATTATCACCTTCTATTGCTCTTCAGCAGAGGATTCTGGCCACTGTCGACAGAAATAAGTAGGCATTAAAGAACTGTTCAATTACTACAGTAAATTATCCCCATATTTTAAATGCCAATTAAGGGACTGGGGCACAGTCAAAAGACAACTGGGTTTGCTCAGCATGAGGAAGACAAAAGCTAACTGCTGTCTTTAACGATGTAACAGGAACAGAGAAGATCAAGCCAGGCTTTCCTCAGAGGGGTGCACATTGAGAGGCACTTGGTACTCATTGCACCACAGGAAATTCCAGTCAGGTATCAGGATATTCCTGCCCTCCCATGAAGGTGGCCTGGAATAGAGGGCCAGCGAGTCAACACATTCATCCACACATCCCTCATCCTTGGATATATTAAAGGCTCAGCCAAGAGCAGACTGACCTAATAATGTTCTTCCTTTATTCAGTGATTCAGAATAGCACACATCTAACAATCTACCACGAACTCAGCCACTTTCACAAGAGTTATGTTTCATTATTCATTATCTTTTGCTATCGGGTTTGTTTAATTGGTACCTTTCCCTCACTAAGGAGGGTTTGAGATAACATCAAACACTTCAGGGTGGATGTGCCCTGAAAGAAGCTGCAATCCACAAACCTTTCATCATATTTTCTCTCCCACTGTCCAGCTGAGGAGGAGAAGCAATAGAGCAGGTGGGTGGGCACCTGGTGGCTAGCCAGGGCCAATCCACCAGATCTACAACTTACTTCAGAACCTTGAATGATAAGCCCAACAAATGTATTTTTAAAATATTATTTAACAACTATGACACAATTCTAGCCTCCGCATCTGTGTGACAGAAGGGGAAAAAAAAAATTAAAATTTCTTCTGGAGAGAGATTTCTGAATGAAAATTCCTTTCATGTCCCGCTGTCCTCAAGTGCTTTAATTCCCCCCTGCCCTCCAATTGCCAGAGGAAGTATTCCAGACATTTACAAAACAGAGGTCTTACCTATTTTTATTTTCCTTCCCTTTTATTTTTTCTTGACCTTTGCCTCCAGTGGGATCCCATTCAACAAAGGTGTCTTCAACTTTCAAGTTCAGGTGAGATGAAGTACTGTCCAAACTGAACAAAAATGCTGGTCAAGATAAAATAGAAAACAGTGAAATGGCATAACGCTCTCTCCCAGCAGTGACTATTCATAGAAAATTATATAAGGAGCAAGAAAAATGCAGCACAGCGTTATTAGATGTAACAGAAAAATCAGCTTTTCAGTCTGACACTTGTAATCAATGTAAGGAGCCCTTCAAATAAAGCCCATCAACCTACTTTCAGTACACAGGTTACAAAGTAAGTATTATCATCTCTAAAATGCTTCAGAGTCAGGAAGTAAATTCAGCTAGTCCTTGCTGCTGCTGTTTACAGCCTACTCAAGATTCTTATAATTATGAATTTCTTAAAAAGGAAGGCATATTTTCCATGCTCAGCAGCAGTGATTCTCCAACAAGGTGTTTATGATTTATAAGGACTTCAAACTTGGGGAATACTCAATAGACAGGGTAGCACATCCAGGTAGACAATGCTGAACTGTGAAGTCAGCTGCAGATACAAGAACAGCAGAGGATTCATGGAGCAGGAAGAGACTTGGTATTTGTGGCAGCCAAGCCCTTCGTGCAAGAAAACAAAACTAATACAACAGGCAAAATTCCCTAAAGATATTTACAGACTGTTCTGTAACTGTCCTAATACCAACAGATACTGCAGTTTGATTCTGAAAAAAAGTATACTTTAGATTTTTAAGAGTTTAGAGTTCAACAGTACACAAATGTAAAGAACAGTCAGATAATCACATGGATAAGGAAGCTGGTTTTCTATGGGTGGATTAATAAAGAAAGTGAACCAAATGTTCACCCATAAATAATGAAAATAATATAGGAAGTGTGGTAACTGCCCAAACAATCAAAACCAGAATTACTTTTCTGTTACTGGAGTAGGGAATGTAAGTGGCTATTAAGTGGATACTATGTGTCTGACAATGACTGTTTTTAAGAGTATTAAAGTAATTTTAGGAAAGTTATCAGAATGCCCATTAGCTCATTCAAACTGCATATAGCTTTGTTCTTATGAAATAGCTTCCACAAGTAATAGCATTTACATATAAATTTATATAGTTGATACCAGTCATTTTGCCCTTTACATCACAGACCTGGCTGTAACTCAAGCCACAGGATCACTATCTCCACCTTAAGAGTTAAGACTTGTGTTCTCTCACAAAACATCACTTCCAGGACTGATAGTTTATTTAAAAGATGATGTTAGGAAGCCATCCTAACAGTCCTCACACCAACCAATTTTGAACACAATGACTGTAAACCTTTAGCAAATTTGAAGTTGTTTATTTTTTTTAATATTGACAGTGGTAAGAATCTAGAGCTACAAAGTAAAAAACAAACAAACAAACAAAAAACCCCAACCCAACCCTTTCCAGCCCCTTCTAGTTACAGAAAGCTGTATCTGTCACTAATAACCAGATAACTACACCAACTGTTTAGATGCCCCAAGAGTCATTCATCCACAACATTCATCTTTCTCTTGCTGTATGCTGGCATGATGTAGGAGCACATGGCACTGTCAATCCACAATTCAAAGCAGCCAATGTCAAGCTCTGCTGGAGAAAGTTGACATTATTATGCCATTTTTCAAGGCCTGAATGCTGAAAGCACAGCTTTGTGCCAATATGCTTCTTAATCCTTTACAGAGATGGCTGTTTTCCCTGTTACTTAGGATGTGTTTCAGCAGTGCTTGTTCAGAAGCAGATTCAACATACAGGTTCATAAAGAAGGCAGAAAAGTTTAAGTACAGGTTTTTCACTACAGCTAAGATTAGTCTTTCAAATTTTACCTTTGGTTTCCAGAGTTATGGGATCAGAGTATTCCCCTGCTACAGCTTTGTTGCAAGCTTGTACTCTAAGGTTCATGTATTTTGTATCAAATTTCAGACCTAAAAAGCAAACGTTTAGAAACCTGGAATTACATTGGTTACTGACAACTTTTACAAGACTAAGGCCTATTCCATGCAGCTGTCTTGCATTTACCTCAATCTGCAAAATCATGCTTAAATATCAGCACAAACTTTAATTAACACAAGATTTTTTTACAAAACCTCAAAGTCAAAATAAAAGACAGAGCTATTACTGTACACAGCACCCAAGACTAATGTGATATAACGGAAGCTTCATTACATGCAGAAAAAGGGGTATTTTGCAAAACTTCCAAGCATAAAGAGTTATATTGATATTCTGGTGTTTGGAGTATAAAAGGCCTTTACCTGACAACGTGTATTGAGTGGCTTTGATGTAGTTGATCACTTCCCAATGCTGTTCACCTTTTAGTCGAGGGAGCCCATCAAAGTTGGTTTTCCTGTACTCCAGTACAAAGTGATCAATTCTGGGGTCTTCTTCAGGCATCCTCCATGATACTGTTACGCAGTTATCAGCAACCATACATGCTGCTACATCTATCTCTGGAGCTTTAGGGACTGCACAAGCACACAGGTCAGTTTAAAGACGACAATGGGTATTACTTTGTTCTCCTTGGATTTACAGAATCCGGAAGTTGCCCCTGGCCTAGTAACACTCCTTCTTTTACAGGATCTATTTCATTAGCAAAGCATGATCAAAGACTAGGCTTATTACTCATTTCTTCTATTTAACACACATTTCACTAAATGAGAAGTACACATGAGCTCTAGAGTGAGCATCCGTGTCAAATCTTCCAGATGTTTGTTTTGTCTGTAAGTTAGGCTGACTCCCTTCTGGAAGCAGCAAGAAGGACTTGCTAGAGTAGAGTGGACTTACAATTATGAATCTACAGGGAAAACATTAAAAAGCAAACTTCTGTTTCTGAGTCTTTGGAAGGTAAGTACATCTGCAACCCCCACAGAGTATCACTTATATTTCCTATAAAAATCACTATAGTGATACATAGTATCACTATGTCTATAGTGACACACAGTATTTCCCACTATCCACTCCACAGTCACCTAGTTTTCTTTCCTTTTCACCCCGTCTTGAAAGAAGGGAAAACAATTCCAAAGATCCACTAAAGGCTGAAGTTTTGTATATATACAACAGAAGTCTATTTCCAGGAAATCAAGGAGCACTTCAGTCTGTGGAAAATATTTTGCAAAAGAAGGCATTTACATACTATTTATAGTGTCTAAAGTACATTCAAGGAAGACTTTAGCTGGAGGAAGTAATAAAGACTTCTTACTGTTTGCATTTTTTGGAGGAAGATTCTGCAAAAAATCTTTTCCTTTGTTTCAGCATTGATAAAAGCTCGAAATACACATGAGAGTGGCCTGCAAGTCAGTGTATCAAGCAGGAGCATCAAAAAAGGATAATCCCGATGCATCTGTGGAACTGATAGACCTGCAGACTTTTTTTGGTCAAAAATCATCTCTTCATACCTCTCAGGCCCTAAACTGTGCTTTCTATAGAGGTCCCAGTGACCAAGTCCTAATTACATATACATTTGTCTTTATGCAGTTTTCCGCTTAACTATTTCTTGAACAGATTGTTATCCATGATTCCCCTTCACAGTGACTGATGACAATCAACTTCACATTATTTATGGTTCAGTCCTTTAGAGATGTGTAATTTTACACTCTAGATACAGACATCTCCTAGAGCTACAGCAGGTGTACTACAAGCAGAAGGCCTAACTCGCTTTATGAACACTACCTTCACACCTTCTCTTCACAATCTCTTCAAATATTTCAAAGGCAGCACTGCTGAAATGCACCCTTTTAACCCTCACATCCCTGCAGATTAAGCCAAGCGGGAATTACACTGAAGCTGGTGTTATAGGTTTAAAATGCCTGAGAACAAATGAGCAGCATAGAAGAGACTGAAAGCACAAAATATTCAAGTCTGCACTGGGACAGTTACATTTCTTCACAGAGGCTTGTGTAGTGCTGTGCTTTGGATTTGTGATGAAAATGGTTTTGATAACACAGGGGTTTTAGTTAATTTGAGTAGCATCAAGTCCTCTTCTGCTTCTCACACCACCCTGTCAGTGAGGGAGCTGAAGGAGCACAGCCAGGACAGCTGACCCCACCTGACCCAAGGGATATTCCAGGCCATATGACGTCACGCTCAGCACATAAACTGGGTGGGGGGGATGTTCAGAGTGATGGCACCTTGTCCTCCCAAGTCCCCATGATGGAGATAAGTTCACCTACACACAAAGCTTTTGCTTTACCTATTAAACTGTTTTTATCTCGACCCCCAATTTTTCTCACTTTTGCCCTTCTTATTGTCTTTCCCATCTCACCACGGAAGGGGAGAGTGAGCAAGCAGCTCTGTGGCGTTTAGCTGCCTGCTGGGGTTAAACTACAACACAGGCTCAAGTGTTAATTCCATGCATTTGCCATCAAAGTCATCCAGCAATAATTTGAAATTAATTCAATATGATGCCTTAATAGGCAAAAGAAAAATTAAGATTAGGACAAGCAATTCAGTTCCTATACCTTTACGTTTAGCTACTTACTCCCATTATTTTTGTCATAAGATACCAGATAAAGAGTCTTACATATGCTTGGGGTGACACCGAGCCTTCAGCATAATTCTCTGGCAAGCAGTGTTCAAACTACCACACCACCAAACCCATTTTCCGTTTCCTAGACTAGAACATTAGTATTTCCTGATGTATAAAAGCCTGTCAATGCTCAGTGCAAATTTGCCTGTAACAGTTTAAGTTGTATTTGGTGTCTGAGTAATTTGAAAGCAATTTGAAATAGAAAAGAAGATTTATACCCAGAAAGTCAATTTTCCTATTTAAAAAAATCAAAGGCCCAAAACAATTTAAATTCCTAAGTATTTAACAAGGAAAATCCATGTATAAGAAAGGTCATACTAAATAATACCTTTATCTAGACACAAGACTTTGTTCATACTTGCTGTTAGATCTTTACACTCTCATTCCTATTAAACAGGTACACTGTGACCTACCCTGCTCCCTTAGCTATGGAATACAGAGCAATGACTGACACCCAGAGTCTAAGACTAGAAGGTAAATTTCTGCCCGGACTCTGGTAGCTGACCACCAGGAATAACACTGGTCATTTACTACACCTGCTACCACATACTGTATCTGCAACATCCAAGACAAACGGGCAGAGATGTAAACTGATGCTGCTAAGTCCTTAACAGATTTGGATCAGTGACCCAGAAATGGAACAACCTGCACCCCTGCCAGCATATTCCTGTCAATATATTCTTGGTAACAGTCAAGGGCAAAGTGTTCTAAATAGGGAAGCAGTATGAATAAAAAGACATTAAAGATATATACTGGTCTAATGCACCTAAGTCTACGGTCAGGTATCAATACACATTTTGTATTATGGTAATCATAATCACAGCACTAGTAGACTATCTCTTTCCTATATTTCAAACCATTTCACCACTCTTGAAAGTGACATAGTAGTTTACATTTCCATCTGTAACACTACTGCAGAGAAACAGGACTTTGGAGTGTCACTGAGCATCAAGAGAAACTTCAGATAACTTCGCAAAGTACAGAGAACTGACAACTCAGAAAAAAACATGGTCTGGAAGACTCATTCTCACTTCTAAGGTCAATGTTATTTTCCAAAATCCTGTCATATGTAGAAACTAACAAAAAGCCAGAAAACTCTTATCCTTGAGGTATTCAAATTAACATGCAATGAGTAAGAATGAGTTTAGGTACTGTGAAAAAGGGTGCAAGAGGTACAGTTTTCTTTTGTTTGGTTGGTTTGAAGATAGTAAGTTGTTTCATGTAATAACAAATTAAGCCCAGTGCATACAGTTTTTACCTGGCAAAAACTTCACAGCCTGAAGCATGCGCTTTTCCAGAGTGAAGTCCACCATCAAATGAGCCATACTGTCACTGACTTTTGGTTTCAGGGAGAGGCGGAATGCTGAAGCCACTGTGACACTGAAGTCAAGAAAGAAGCATTAACAAAATGTATCTTACATTGTTTAAGCCATTTTTCAAAACTGCAATCGGATAACCTGTAACATTAACGTCAAACTACTGATCAAAGAGAAGAACATTTTTCTAACAGATAACTGTTTACCATTTAGCACACTCAAAAATAAACTGTCTCAGTGCAAGCTACCAGTTGTTCTATATTACTAGGCAAATAAATACTAGAGGCAACTAGAGAAGAGCTTAAACCTTTTTACTACTGAAAAGCTTGGATAAGAGACAAAACAAAATCCATATCACTTGACATAAAATCAGTAAGTGTGAAAAATCTAAAGCACCACAGACTCAGGATCATATTTAGGCATTTCTAAACAGCAGTGAACAAGCTGACTATGCTGCTTTCATATCTATGTCTGATTGTATCCAGATATGAGAAATGCTAAGTTGCATTTTGGAACATGCATGTATTAGACCTGTTTTACAAGATACACTGAAGAACTCTCTGAAATTCAACAAAGGCAAGTGCAAGGTCCCGCACCTTGACAGGAATAATGCCAGGCATCAGGATAGGTTGGGGATTGACCTGCTGGGAAGTAGGTCTGTGGAGAAGGCCCTGGGGGTCCTGGTGGACAACAAGCTGTCCCTGAGCCAGCAGTGGGACCTGGGGGCCAGGGCGGCCAGTGGCATCTGGCAGTGAATCAGGAAGAGCATTGCCAGCAGGTCAGGGACATGATCCCGTTCCTCTACTCAGCCCTGTGAGGCACATCTGGAGTGCTGTGTCCAGTTCCGAGCTTCTCAAGACAGACATAGAGCTCCTGGAGCAGGTCCAGCGGAGGCTACGAAGATAATTAGGGGACCAGAGCATCTCTCCAACAAGGAAAGGCTGAAGGAGCTGGGCCTGTTCAGTCTCAAGAAGAGATACAGAGGGAACCTCATCCCTGTCTGTCAGTGTCTGCAAGGAGGGGTCAGAGGGTGGACCAGGCTCTGCTCAGGGGTGCCCAGCAATGGGACAAGAGGAATGGGCAGACCTGATGCACAGGAAGTTCCACCTGAACATGAGGAAGAATTTCTTTGCTGTGCAGTGACCAACCACTGGAACAGACTGCCCAGAGAGGGTGTGGAGTCTCCCTTACTGGAGATATTCCAGAACTGTATGGGCACAATCCTGTGTCATGTGCTCTGGGATGGCCCTGCTGGAGCAGGGAGGTTGGACCAGATGACTCATTGTGGTCACTCCCTCCACGATCCATCCTGTGATCCTGTGCTCCCATTTCCACTTCTGAAATCTTAGCTCAATACTTGCTCTGAATACTCCCAAGATAATTCTGTACTCCAACTACACTACTAAAAATAAGGACAAGTTTCTAGAATAGTTCTCTGACTCCGAAGACATCAGGCCATGCAGAAGAATTTGAATAACACCGATTCTGACAGCACACAGGTCCCAAATTTTGCTTAAAAAAAAAATAAAATTCTTAACTATAAAGTATTATACACACCACAAAAGTCAACTGTAAATACCTAAATTTATTCTACACCCACAGATGTGCAGCATCTTTAGAATATCTAGTTCATATCACTCCCTGTGAGGTACCATGTACTTCACCAGCATGCAAGAGAGATTGTGTGCTAACCACAGATACACCAAATAATAGTGAAAAACAAAAAATCTGGTAGTGAGGAAGGGGGAAGAAATATCAAGTTTATTACTAAAGATATATATATATCAGGAGTGACAAGCTCTACAATTTTGGGACACAAGACTGAACTGAATATCATAAAAGACAAGTCAATTGATTTCCCAAGACAGGGTTCATGGTCTGAAATTCTGTATGGGCTGCCTGGCACACTCCACTGCTCAGCCAGATGGGTAGAGTAAATCTCTCCTTAAGGGAAAATAATCCTCTGATTAGCAGTAGAACACCAGGGAGCAGTCGGCTTCAGACAGCTTTTTAACTTCTGTTTAGACACCAGTCTTAGAGAACCACGCAGGATGAGGTGATATAGCATTTCAAGAAACCAGAAATTACTACTGATAAAAAGTATTAAGATTCCCATCACTGCCACTATCCACTTTCCCTTTGATTTGATAAGGACCCTAAATCTTTACCCTTGAAAACACAAAGTTTTATTTCTCTAGCAATTACTCATTTTATACAGCACTTAAGAGAATTTAGTCCATAAGACCCTTCCTTGAAAAACCTGTAAATTCAAAGACAAACTATTTGGTCCATAAGAGCAACATATGCTGAAAGCACCCTGTCAGCTGCCTTTCAAAGTATTATGCACATCATAGTAAGCTTTTTGAACCAGAAGGTCAGACTCTTGGAATATAGTTAACATTCTTCTAAGTGAAGGAAAAATGGCCCTAGCATTTATTTTGAAACAGTAAAGCTTTGCTTTTAAAACAATAGTTTGAAAACACAGCTCAAAGAAAAGCTACCAGAAATAATAATTTCACTGTCATTAGTCAGAGTGATGTCACCAGAAATATTTTAACGGCTACAAGACTTCTGACATTCAGAAGGAAAATTAGCTAGCAAAAGTCCTTAAGCACTTTAAAAAATAGAAAAAGAACAATATTTTCTCACAACTTAAAGGGGCAGAGTCAGCTTGAAACATCATCAAATTTCAGCCATCAGGTATTAATAAGCTTATTATTAAAAATAATTTATATACATATATATATAAAAAGAGATAATCATAATAGCAGTAGCTGATACAGAGCTCTATTCCCTTCATTAAAACCTTCTATTAATTTAAAGATATGAAAAGCCAGGAAAAATACTACATGAGCAGCACAGAAGTTTTTAGTTCTCTCTCAAGAGTTGTGGCAGCTAACACTTAGGGAAGAGTCAACAAATTTGACTTAAGCTGACTATGGCCCTTTCAAAATAAATGTGTTTTCAAGGATAAGATTAATTCAAAGACAGAAAAGTGATAGATTTTGTACTGTACCTATCTTTGATCTGTCTGGCAGCCTTGATGCATGTCAGGAAGAAGAGAGAGAGAAAGCAGTTAGTATTTCCATGCAAGTATCCATGGCAGTAACATGCAAGAAGGCTGAGAACCATCTCCGCTGCATTGCTCAAATTTGAAGATCAAAATGAGCTTAACATTTTTATCAAAACAGATTGTCCCATTAAGCACGTTAATAGCATGGGTTAGCATGGCAACAGCATCTCACCTGAGAAAAAACCACTGATTTTAACAACCACACCAAACCAATTCCAAATTGCTCAACTTCCTGGGTGTCTTTTTAACTAAACTGATGAAGAGAAATCTACTCCCCATCACATTTTAAAGTAGGTACAGGACGAAGTCAGCAACATTTAGCTACCATGGCATTTTCTGTGAAGTTATGAAGTGCTTATTAGTGGCATGTGACCACACATGGCTTGTTTGGCTACACATCATAGAGATGTATGGTCTGATAAACAAGAAAAACTAGGACTTGCTCTAACTTTTACTATGAAAGTTATTAAACTCTTCCAACAATACTTCCTAAACATTGTCTCTGTGTGTCAGTATTAAAAAATGACAGAACATAGTTCTTCCCAGCACTTAAATGATACCCCTCAAGCAGATGCAGAAGCGGTAATGACATATTTCAAAGATAAAGACTAACTGGCATTTAGAAAGACAAAAATTCCTGTCCTTCACAAAGAGGAGCTACAAACCTAAAACAAATGTTATTGCTGAAGTAGGGATGGCCTAGTCGTGTCTGTTATCCATGACTGAAGCTAACGTTGCTACTTGATGCAGTTGCCATGCAGCTGAACTGGTTTTCCTTCCAAAGAGGAGACAAGAAACATCAAGTAGCTTTCCAGTTTGAAGTCGAAAGTGGAGAACTTCCCAATTTTTCACTAATTACAAGTCATATTCAATTAAAAAAAAAAAATCGTGTCCCTGCTACAAAACCAATTGTATATTCCAAAAGTGGGAAGCAGGAAAAAACCAAGTGTTTAGAAAGAATTTAATTAAAGAGGTAGTCTTATTTTACCTCAAAACAAAGTTATTGTAGAAGCTATGGGCTGATTCTCCTGTATGACAGCTGTAGATAAATAGAGCTACTTCACAACACTCCTAGAGTATCCAAAGAAAATCTGTGCTAATTGAAAGAGCATGGGCTGGAGCTTCCCCTTCAGGAACACTTGCTGTTCTTACCAGCAGAGTAATAAAATTGTCTGCCTAATAGCCTTAAAATGCCATATCCAAATGCACAAGTGCTAGTTAGTGTAATACCAGTATCATATCCTAGATAGTAACAGGTCATTGAATTGGACTTTGGTATCTTAAGCTTCAGACGCCAAATCTGAAAAGACTTTCCCCCCAGCAAACACTCAAATAGCTTTCCTTAGTCTATTTGATTGGAAAAGAGCATTAGAGATATCTGAAACAAAACACCTTACAATAAAGTCTACGCCACACTCTGCATAGAGCTGACTTTATTTTTTTACACATCACTGTGACAAGACAGAAAGGACAACTCCAACTGAAGTCCTAACAAAAATGCTCAGCTTAAGGAATTGTTGCTCTTCAAGCCACATAAATCAAAGCTTACACCCAGAAAGCAGGAAAGCACACAAACATGCTGCCAAAAGCTAAAACTGACACAGTAAGACAGCTTTCCTCCTCACTCTTTTAACAAGATTTGTGTCCTTGTTCCCGCTAAAATGCAGGGAGGAAAAAAGTAATTTGGCCTTGGATTTGGCACAGCTGATCCCAGTACTACGACAAGGGTTACTGTAGCAAGCACTAGTGTACTGATTAAGTGTATGTGGGGAACTGCTTCATTAACTTACAAGCATATTCTTCCAGTTAGATACACGTTACCTGATTTACAAATCTGCTGTGCTAAAGAAAAATTATCTGTATTGGTATCACAATGCAAGGCCCAAATCCAGGCTCTTGTCTACACAAATGTGTTGGAAGGTTTTGGGGAATATACAGAATTCAGTTTCAAACTAGGTTCTGAACTGAATCTAGTTTTGCAAGATCATTCAGCACAGCTGCAGAGTTCAAGATCCACAGTTTGCATTAAGTTCTGCAAAACAAACATCACCTACAGACAGAATCCAGAGACTGTCCGCAAGCATCATGGATCAGCACTGGGAATGGACAGGTCACTTCGAGTGACTTCGAGTGCTGGCCATCACACATTTTCCAAGTCTTTACTCAGCTTTAGAGAGATTTATTTCACCTTCACTTCCTGAATTCATCAGTGCAAGTTTGCTTAACAATGGCAGTTGTTCAGGAGAAGGCACTGCTTTCCTTCCCTGCTCACTCTGAATAACAAGAAACCCCCTTATTTTGTTAGAAATTAGTCTTGAATAAAGATTCAAGACTGTAGTGCTTGACTTGGCTTCTTTAACAGAGCAATAACCCCTCTCAGCCTGGGGGTTCTTTCTGTGTGTTTGTAGTGGCTGGTCAGCTGTCAGCAGGGTCCTAGTGTGTGTGAACGAGGAGGCTGACTGCTGGCCTCGCTGTACTGGCGGTCACCGTAGTGACTCCCAGGGGCCATATGTGTACAGAATGTTTTATAAGTACCTGGATACCCTGTTAGTAGCCTGGGGTTGCCTGTGTTTTGAGTGCCTCTCTGGAGACACACTATCCATAACGCTGCTGATGCTTTTGAGAAAGCACGCAGGATCACCCTTGAGGAGAAAAGACAACGCAGAAAGACTCGTGCCTTGCAGAATATACCACCTAAGGAGTCTTTCTGCTGTGCCTTTTGCAACCAGATGTGCCTGTCTCGTATTGGCCTTTTTAGCCACCAGTGCTCTTGTAACAAACGTGGGTAGAGCCCTCCCCAAATCTTTGTTTGCGAAGTCTGGCCATGATGATGCCTCTCTATCCTTACTGTCAGTACAGCTGGTAAGTTTACAGGGTCCAGGAGAGTAATGCAAAGGATATTTCAAATGGAGATGGATACCAACATCCGCCTTACGCCCATCTGCTCAATGTTTTCTACCTCTAAGAGTTTTGCAGGGTTCTTTATGTCCAGAGACTGCACAGCAATTTCCAGCAGCTCTTCAGAACTCTCCAGGGCATGACTGCACTGGCTAAGCTGATCCTGAAGCAAAAACAGAGAGAACAATTTGATGTATTCACATTTTAAAAAGTGGTTTATGAAGTACCAGTCCTAGAAACTACATGGCTTTATTATGCATTTATAACAACTTATTACCTTATATAATCAAGGTGATTACCTCTGACACAGCATGCAACCAAAACTTCACTGTGCTTCACGAGTGCACAGCGACACATGCCACATCCTACAACTCCAAAGGGGAAAAAGCTGGATAGGTGGTGAAGTCTCATTTAAAAGCCAGATTTAATTTCAAGGCCTGTTTTTCTCCCCCCCCCAAAAAATAAGGATTTCAGAAGTAAAGAAATAAACACTTATATTCTTGTGCATTACAATTTCTATTTACAGAACTGCATACTACTGATCTATGAATGACAGTGTTTAATGTAGCAGTAGCTTTAAAAAAGGCAATGACTTTATCCCCAACCAGCTCCAGAACTGTCACAAGACAATCCTGAAAATCAATATTGCTATATGACAGATGGGAATAGCAGAGGAATAGGAACAGAGGAAGTTTACAAATGTAGTTATATAGTTACCTGCAGAGCTTGAATTTTACGAGCCTCTTCTTGCTGGATAGTGTTGGCCATACTCCCCTTCATCTCATGCAATACAGAATACAGACCATCAAATTCTTCATCCAGCTCACTGATTGCATTGGAAGAGTTTACCTAAGAAGAGAATTGAAAATGCTGTTTACACTGGAAACAATGAAAACTAGCCTTTTAGACTGAAACTCACATTATTTGCCCACACATGTTTTGCCATGACCACTAGATACCTTGTGACTGCCCCTCAACTTATCAAAAGGGGAAAAGCATTAGGAACAACGGACAAATCCTAAGCAGACTCTACAGGGGGACTCTGGATGCTGACACCCATGAAAATTCCATGATACTCAAACTTGCACAGAACCAGCATACCTGGCAGCTTTGTTCCATATCAAAAAAAAGCCTTGATTTCCCTCCTCCAATTATACATGGCTTGCTAGATGTTTGGAAGGAGGCAGTTATCCAGTTCCACGTAAAGTGATTTCACTTCATACTAAAAGCTGCACTCAAGACATCAATTTAAAGATTTGCTGGACAACTTCCATATCTGCATTTAACGTGTCTCAGTTTTAGCATGAAACAACTTATAGCTGATTGACAGACTAAAAGAACCTAAATCTCATCCTCGTTTAGATGCTTTAACAGCTAGGCCTAACTTTCAGCTTAAGCCCAACAATTTGCAACTACCAAAAAGTGAAAGAGCAAATAATATTCTCTCAAGTACCAGGATGGGCTCATTTTTCAGCTTGCCAAATAGAGTAGAAGTCTAAAAAACAGAGTACTTCCATCTAACAGGAGTTTGAGATCTTGCATCAGAATCCAAATTCTCTCTTCCACACGAAGTTCTACAACAGCTTTTCTCGTGAGATGCAAAACCATCACGCCTTTTATCTAGAGACAGACTTCCGACATGCAGTATTTTGAACTTGATTCTTACAGCCTACCCCTTAGACGCTATCCAGTTTGGGACTAACAAAACTGGAAAGGTGCTCCCCTCTCAGCTACAAGCTATGAGCCTCAATATATATGTACCTGAACATTTGATATTGTATGGTTCAGCATGTCGATGAAGTTGTGAATTTCATCATTTTTGTTCACTAGAGTACTGACAATCCTCTGCAGAGTCTCCTAGAATTACAAAAACAAGTGAGAGAAGTTGTAAAATCACCTTGTGATTTTTTTGATCATCACCACTTCACCATACGTGAAAACTCATCATACACATCCCAGGCATGGCAAACTGAGCTTGCGTTCTGATGGGATCAGGAAATGCATTTTGTTAGTAAAGGGAAAGGATACCACAGGTCTAAGAAGTATTCCACCAAACTGAAGATCTCCAGCTGTTAGTTTGAGGGAAATCAATAATACTCCACTGTTCCACGTTTTGCTAAGCAAGTCACCTACACCAGAACACCTCTGGCACACACAACTTCTCCAGATGAGGAAGGCAGTGCTTGAGCAACAAAATAGAGAACTAATAAAGAAACTTTAAAAAGCTGGTAAAAGGTAACATAGAACAAAAACTAGCATTTCACAGTGTTGAAAGAAACAAGTGTTAAATAACTAAGATGACAGTTTATTCTATATACAGAAATAAACCTATAACAGTGATCTGTACACTTATTCTACAAGTGGCAAAATAGTTTGGTTGAATAGACTTATATTCCAATTAAAAGTGACCTCAAAGAGGAAAGTTTTCTGAGAGCGTAGAAAGAGAATCAAGGTTATTTCAGTGACGTACTAATCTAAATGTTCAAAAAGCAGTAGATTCAGCTTACAAAGCACATACAAGCAGGCAAAACTATCAGGTACATCAAAACGTATTCTAAATTATTTAATACTACCAAGTCTAATTTTGTTGAGTTGCCAGTCACATATTCTAAGAATTTGACAAAAACACATAAGTGTGTGGTACTTAAGTCAAGTAAAGCTCAAAGCATATCACCATATGTAAGAAAAAATAAAGGACAAGGTGAGGAAGCAACTAAGAATTTTCTGTAATTTTACTTCAGGCTGGTTGATAAGAAGTTTCAGAAGCAAACTGAACTCTAATATGCTAAATTTGGCTCTTTAAAAAAAAAGTAATCCCTGTCCTAATTATAATTAACAAATTATTAATCAGCTGGACTCAGAGTTTCAATAGCTCAGCCTAACACTGTTACTTGACAACATTTAAGAACTCAAGGCATGGAGAAATAATAAGCATGCTTTAAAAGCAGCCAGACCACCAGAGAGATGTTGCAGAAGTTCCTTCCACAAGCAATTCCTTAAAAACCATGTACTGTTTAGATCACATTTGTCTGCTGGAAAGCAAGAAGAATATTTTATCCTTTCACAACATCCACAGTGAACATCAACATTACATCCAGTACAAGGAACTTCTCCCCTACTACTAAGACATGCTCATTCCTCTTTCTTCTGATCCCTTCCTCAGCAGTTTACAACAAATCTGCAATGAGGTATTTACTGGTACCCCAGCCCACTGCCTGTTTTCTGGTGTCATGCTCACAAAGTTAAACCACTGACAGAGGAATCTGAAATTTTAGTGCTTTTAGCACAGGTGTTGATGGTGTTACGTGCAGAGGTAACAGACCAGCTGGCAGTGGCTGAAGCCAGGACTCTCAGAACAGAAACAAGACCTTGGCTTCTTTCAGAAACAAGAGTACAGCAAGTCTTGACCACTTCATTACTGAACTTTTTTGTTGTCTGGTGAAAACTGAGCAAGGCTAAAGGCAGTTTTGTGTACATTAGAATGGCAGACAAATCACCATTGTCCAACCAGCTGCTTCTGCATTCACCACTGACCAGAGGCAATTGTTTTCACATGCCAGATAGCCTGGAGATAAGCCTTAGATCCTATGAGCAGAACTGTCAATTTGGATGAACACAGAAACTCACAATCCTCTTTCAGCAAGGATCTTAGAGCCTATTCAGTTGAAACACACGGGGGAAAAAAAGTCTTCTTGTATACAGTGCTGAACAATGTTGTTGGATTTTAAGCCACACTATGATTAAAGAAGAAGATCTATGTGTGAGGGTAATTTAAAAAGCATTCAGGCACACAAAAACATAGCAACAACTGGAAGACAGCTGTCCACTTCTAGAAGCATAGAGGCCCCTCATAAAAGTTAAAGAGTAAACTTTGATAAATTAAACAATTACAGCAGTTCTGTTTAAGAAGGAGCTATCAACTTGCTCAAGATCATATTGAGGGCTTATAACCTGTTTGCATACAGAGCAGTTTCTGTAGCAGTCTTGGGCCTAGGACAAAATTGTGAGACATTTTAACCTTCACGTCCATATCAAATTTCAAAGAGGACATGCTTACTTAGCCTCCATTAATTTAATTTTCTGCACTTGTTAACACACTGAAGCTGCCAAAGTTTGAAGGAGAACTTCATACAGTGCAGGTGACAGTAGCAATTTAATACTGTTAGAGAAAGCATTGTAAAATGTGAGATCCACTGCAATTTTGTTACTGTATTCAGAACCTCTGAGCAGCACTGAAATTCAAATATGACTCCATTCCGAAACAATCACTTAGGGCACCCACAACAGCTGCAGCCCTCATTTACTTCTCTTCCAGAGAGACTAATCTCACACAGAGCAGGCAAAGGCAGACAGACTCAAATTCACATAGTTCCTACCAGAAGTACACTTATTGCCATTTCACATCCATCTCAGCTTCCAAAGCATGTGTTCAGAGACATTAGTTGCTTAGCATAAATAAGTTTTAAGGAGAATGAGTTACACAGAGATACAATACTGTGTGATCTGGCATATTGCTTCCTTAGCTTTACTTGCTTAGCATGAGCAGCTGGATTTGCTGACCACAAACTGTGAACTCACACCAAGATCTGTTGTCAGCTGGAACAGAGTTAATTTCCTCAGTAATTTTCCTAGTAGCAGGCACAGTGCCGGGTTTTGGCTTTAGGATGTGAAGCATACTGATAAAACACTGATATTCTGGTTGTCTTTAAGTAACATTCACCACAAGTCTGGGGCTTTTTTAGCTTCCCATGCTCTGCCAGCGAGCAGGTGCACTGGAAGCACAAAGCAGAAGACTAGGAAGATACAGTTATCAGCAGAAACTGTAACTCAACAAGGTAAGAACAGTGAAGAGCCTGCCTGTGTGGATACAGAGAAACAATCTCAAGACCTGCCAGAAGACTCCAGACTAAAAATCAGCACCAGACCAAGAGCACGTGAGCATGTGCAAAGTCATCAGGGTACAACTGTGAGGAGATGCCTTTGTTTTGGGACTCAGCTTAAGCTGACCTGCTGCTGTACCACTCTCTTAAGGGATTTATTTTGATAAATCTGACACCTGAAGACTTCATTATGAGGCTAAGCCTGAAGAAGCTGCGACTCCTTGAATGGTGTGAGAATGTTCAAGCAACAGCTTCTCCTCTAACACACAGCCTGGCAGTGCACAAACACTTAACTGAAGTATCAAACATCCCTAATTTGTAAGTTTCAAGCCATCAATAGCGCTAAGTCACTCTGACCCCACTCACAAACCAGCTTCTAGGCTGAGGAAAGCACAGTCCTCACAGAGACAGTAACAGAAGCCCTTTGGCACCAACAGACTGAGAGCCAAAAGGCTGAGTCACAACTTTTTTCAGGTGAGCATCATTTTTAGAAAGCCCCAAATGTTGGCCAGTGATTTCTCCAAGGGGGGTGATAGCAAGTAAAGGAAGAAGGCAATTGTAGGGTAGCAGCCACCGGGAAAAGAAACGCCACAAAACGCTTTTCTTCATTAATTCCCTTCAACTCTAGATTGCATCAGTGGCAAACAGAAGGGCTTATGTACGCACCGTAATCACTTATGACAGGGATACACAGGGTGAAAGGGCTCCACACCGCTGCCGCACTTCCTTACAGAACCATAGGAATTGTTGGGGTTGGAAGGAACCTCTGGAGATCATCCAGCCCAATCCCCCCTGCCTAGGCAGGGTCACCTCGAGCAGGTGACACAGGAGCGCGTCCTGGTGGGTCCGGGATATCTCCAGAGAGAGGGAGACATTTCTTGTCTGCAGATATTCCTTGCTCCCGCAACACAGGCGGGGAGCGAGCAGACTCGAGGAAGCCTCTCTGGATGCGCATCCCCCGAACTCCTCCCTTGCGCCGCTGTCCTCCCGTACAACTCCCTCTTCCACCACCCCTCCCCAGGCAGCCAGGCCGAGCGTCGAGAAACGCCAACACCGCCGGGAAAACGCTCCGCCGACACCCCTCCAGCCCCTCCTTCCCCCCCACCGCCTCGGCGCTGCCCACCCGGCCCGGCCCCGCGAGGACTCACGCGTTCCTCGTCCATGGCGGCGGGAGCGACGCGGGCGGGGATGCGAGACAGAGGGATACAGGGATGCGCTCCCCCCCCACTCCGGGATAAGCGGCCCCGCGACCCCGCCCCGCCCGCACAGAGCATGCGCGCGCCTGCGCGCCCTCCGCCGCTCCCGGGTCCTTGGGTTCGAGTCCCGGCCCCGGCCGGGCCGGGGCGTGCGGGGTTGAGGAGGAGAGTCCTGGCCCAGGAACCCGAGGTTGGAGTGTCTGTCAGGCGTACTGGGCCTGCTTAGTGTCATTAATGCATATAAATATCTCCAAGGCAGGTGCCAAGAGGATGGTCTCAGCATCTTTTCAGTGGTCAGGAAGCAGTGGCCATAAACTGAAATACAAAAAGTTCCTCGTCAACATGAGGAAGAACTTCTTTCCGCTGAGGGTGGCAGAGCACTGGAACAGGCTGCCCAGGGAGATTGTGGAGTCTCCCTCTCTGGAGACATTCCAAACCCACCTGGACGTGTTCCTGTATCTCCTGCTCCCGGTGACCCTGCCTTGGCAGCGGGGTTGGGCTGGGTGATCTCCAGAGGTCCCTGTTTATCCGCAGATTTTGTTTACCAACAAAATACTAAAATCCAAAGGGACTTTTTGTGTTTTGTCCTGGGAGAGAAGTTGGCAGCAGAGTCAGAAATAGTGGCTGTGGTCACCCAGGCTGCCAATAACACTATCCTCAGAAAGGGGCACATTTGGCTCTGAAACCCTCTGCAGTGTGTTGGAGTGGGTGTTTAAATTGATTTCTGCAGCTGTGGGCCCACTTCTTAATTCCAGATCTGGACTATGTGGAAAGATTCAACCTCACATCTTCCTATATGCCTTCTCATTTCTAAACTGCAAATGCAGGGAAAGGGTCGCCATCAAGACATTATTCCACAGTTTTATGGGTTCCTTCAGCACTCTTGTGAACACAAGTCCAGAGGAGGCCACCAAGATGTTTAGAGGGATGAAGCACATCTCGTACTAAGAAAGGCTGAGAAAATTGGGATTGTTCAGCCTGGAGAGGAGAGAGCTTTGGTGTGACCTAATTGCAACCTTCCAGGACCTGAAGGGAGCCTACAGGAAAGTTGGAGAGGGACTTTTGATGAGGCCATATAGTGACAGGACAAGTGGGAATGGATTCAAATTAAAGGAGAGAAGGTTTAGATTAGGTGTTAGGAGGAAGCTCTTCCCTGTGAGGGTGGTGAGGCCTTTGCACAGATTGCCCAGAGAATCTGTGGCTGCCCCATCCCTGGAAGGTGTCCAAGGCCAGGTTGGGCGGGACTTGGAGGAACCTGGTCTAGTGAAAAGTGTTCCTGCCTGTGGCAGGAGGGTGGAACTACATGATCTTTTAAGATCCCTTCCAACCCAAACCATTCTACGAATCTTTGAATTTGAGCAACGAAAGACCTACTAAGAATATTTTCTTTATAGTTGCTTGTGTTCTTTTTTCCCACGATGGGAGATTTTTAAAAGGGAAAGGACTGATAAGAAGAAATACTTCAGATGATTAGAGTTCGTCCTAAAGGAACCTGTAATGACTTATTGCTCTCTTATACACTGGGAATTTGGGGAACATGACAGGAACATGTGCGATTTCTTGGAAGCCCTTGGGAACCTGGATCCTGGACAAGCAGATCGTCACTGGTCACTGAACTAATGTATGGGCAGAAATGCTACTGGCAGGATGCTAGGGGACAGAGAATATCTTATAAGTTAAAGCTGTTAGCATATTTTAGGCCAAAAAAAGAGATCACAGAAAGAAGACTCAAAGGAAACAATGGCAAGAAGTTGGAGAAGGGGAAAATACTTCAGGTCCCTAAACCAAGAATGGATCAACTTGGGTAATCACAGAATAACTAGAAGTTGCATTTAAATTGTGTCCACAGAGAATGGTGAATTGGGTGCATCTATTTGTCAGTTTTCTTTAAAACTGAGGTTAGAAATGTAAGAAAGGACTTTTCTCCAGAGCTATTTTCTTCTGGCACCAAACATACTACTTTCTTACATTTAACATCTGAAGCATAAACCAAGATTCAGCCCTACCTAACCACCTCCTAGAAGCACTTGTTACCTTGAGACTCATGAGAATTAGAAAGTTAATATCTTATTCTTCTTGCTCCAGGCATGCCATTGTTGTATTTTCTTCAAACAATAGTTGGACCGCAGACTTACACTCATTTGCAGTGCCAGATAAATCTATGTATTGTGAGAGGAGGAAGCAGCAGGTTGTTGCATTTCTGTATGGATGAAGGCTTGAAAGTAGTTAAAACTCTGTCTGAAAAACCAAGCTAACTAAATAATAAGGGAGGAAGGAAGCTATGGATGGCCTTTATGACATAGTATGTTTGCTTTGAGAAGGGATGGACCCTGTGACAACTGCCTACAGACACTGGAGTTGCTTATGTGCAACTCAGCGTGGCTCTGGCATCAAGTTACCTTTCTTCTTGTGCAGCTCAAAGTCACTGTGACTTTGAAAAGGTCTTTTTTTGGTGTTTAAAAAAATCCCACAGGGCCGCTCACTCCCACTACTGACCTTCCATGTTTTTTGAGGGTACATATGGACATGTACAAAAGCAAGGAGCAAGTCCCAGACAAACTAACCCAACAGGCTTCTCATTGATGTAGACTTTTCTTCCTGCATCATTTTTCTTTTTTTTTTTCTCTCTTTGAGAAGAAGGTCAGAAACCATCAGCACAACCAGCCAGTTAGAGGGGAGGTCAGTGGAGCAGCAGAAAATCCTTTGTGCCTCAAGGTGCCTCGATGTATGGGATAGGAAACAATCAAAAAACAGCAAGGACTTCCCTGGCTTTCCTGCAGGAAACTACCTGAAAATAGCTGAGCTGGGTAGCAGCTTTTGTGGGCCACGCCCAGGGCTTCCTGGAAGCCACTGTGGATGGGCTAAGAGATCATGACAGTTCTTGATTATCGCTTCGTTACCTTGATGAGCACCAAAGCCTCAGAATTCAGTAGCAGAGTGCCTGTGCTGGCTCACTCTCCCTTGCTCCATGCAGCCTGGAGTTCAAGCTTTGGGTATTTCTGAGGGGAAAGGAAAATAAGAAAAAAAGAAATGTGTCATGGAGCATCTCCTTTATCAGTTGCAGCACTTGGATTTGGAGGTTTTGCTGATTGCGTCTGTAGAAACTTGACTTCTGTGAGCACAGCTGGGAAGGTGCACAACAGGCTGCCCCACAGGAAGTCCTTTAGCTCATGGACAGGAGTATTGCTGGCCTGATGTTGAACCACAGACTCTTCCAGAAGACATAAACATCCTTCCTCACACAGATTAGTTTTGTAATTTTGGTGAAAGCATCTCTGCATGCTCCTGGTACTCCTCATGTTCGTACAAAGGTTATTATCTGCACATGGTCCAAAACCTACATTATAAAATTCCTAAAGATGTGACAGAAAACCATACCTAATCAAACCATACCTTGTGTTCTCCAGAGTACCTTTTACTGTTAAATTCCACGATTCTTTTCTCTCCCACTTCTTATTTTGTTTTATACTTTTGGTATTGCTACCATGCACAAATTTCCCATGTATACCACATGCCATTTCATTTTTTAAATCAGCTGCTTCATCCATGAGTGTGAGAGTGTATTTTCCAAGAGACAGGCTTCTAAACCTCCTGGATCCCACCCCATGCCATGGTACCAGAAGTATCACAGACACTCACAGCTGCACCCTGGGTCACAGTCTTCTTCAGCTCAGTACACTGATAAGAAAAACTGTATGTGGCTGCAGAGGAAACTAAACAAAGATGGGTTGTGCACATTTTGGGTATGCCTTCACCTTCAATTTCACTTAACTAGTGTGAATTTCTTTCTTTTCTGACCCCTCACACTGTCTGCTGTGAAGAGGCTTCAGTTCTAGTAATTAAAGTCTTGGGTAGTGGCTCTTGGTGGCCAGACAGGCAAATTTCCTCAATAAGTGCTGAGAGAGAGAGAAACTCTTCAGGACACAGGATATATCTATATAAGTAGGATATACCCATATACACAACTCAAATTAAGCAGAGCCAAAAAAGTTCTTGGGGGCTGCTGGAAAGAAACAAAAGACCCATTACATAAAAACGTGTATATTGCTCAGGAGTCACCCATCCATGAAGCTGAAGTCTGAGTTCTTCAAATCACATAATTTTGTCAGTTTCTGAAGTTGCTCCTCTCATGCCAAAGCACCTGTTGGAACAAGCTTTGACCCATGTCAGAAAGCAGTGAGTAAGTACATTTTCTCAGCCACTGCCTGTGAAGGCCTGGCCCAGAGCCATGCAGTCCTGGAGATTTGAGAAGCCCTGCAGCCAGCCAGCAGCAAAAAGAAGACAGGCAGCAAGGAGATAAACTGGGGAGGAACAGAGGCAACAGAAGGAGACAAAGCAGAGAAAAGAAGGTTTTTTTCACATGGCATAACACCAAGCACACCTGGGAAAAAGGGTCTGCTGCTGTTCTTCCAGTAGAGAATGAGGCAGCAGGAGGTAAGAGGAGAGGAGGAACTATGAGTTCTCACCTTCAGGGAGAGATGTGCTGGTACACTCCAGTGGAGAGGCCAGTTGCAGTTAGGAAGAGAGGGAGCATAATTAATAAGGTTTTCAAGTCTCTCTGCACTTTGCTGGGCTGTACAGTCGGCTGCACTCCTCTGGCCATTAAAGATTATGGAATACCACTTCTCTAACTTGCCACCTCCCTCTCCTTTATAAGAGGTTCCCAATGCAAATTGTGGGCAAAGGCTTTTGCCTCTGTGGCAGGGGCACTGCTGGTGCCATACTGTTGTGGTTTAACCCTGTCCAGAAAGGAGCACCACACGGCTGCTTCCTCACTGCCTCACCAGAGGGATGGAGGGGAGAATTAAAATGGTAAAAGTGAGAAAATTAATGGGTTAAGGTAAGGACAGTTTCACAGGTAAAGCAAAAGTCATGCACACAGGCAAAGCAGAAAAAGGAGTTTATTCACTGCTTCCCATGGGCAGGCAGGTGTTGGGAAGACAAATGCCATTGCTCCAAACACACTCCTTTCCTCTTTCTCTGCCCAGCTCTATATATTAAGCCTGACACCATATGGTCTGGAATATCTCTTTGGTCAGTTG